ACCTTGAATTTATGAGATCAAAACAGATTTCGGTCATTAGATCAATTACTTGGATTTAAGTCATTTTGGATATAGAAATAAATTGAGATATTTGATTTAAGTTATTGGATTGTCAGATGTGAATTGGATAAGTTCCGAGTCTTGTGCATTTGTGGGACCTTCTCACAAGTGCACGGTGTTTGTCGCGCCTCGGATTCGGGTTCTGGGGCGTGACACTTAGCCTTCTACTTCGAGATATATTCTCAATTTTATGGTTTTATGTTACTAATGGCAAGATGATATAAAAGCTATTTATCCATTAATGCAATTATCACTACAAGGACATGTACCTATAGTGATGGAAGATTTTCATTTGTATATACCCTTTTTTGTCAATATAGACCCCCATGGACTATTTCGATGAAAGAGCTTTTAGTTGATGCAAACCTCATCAATATAGGGTATATACTAATTACAACAAATCCGTATGTATAGACCTTGGGTTCTATTCCAATGGAAAACTTGTTCGTTAGTATACACCCCGAGAAATTTTAAGAGATTTTGCTGTGGGTATAGACTTTGACCTTTACAGATGGATAATTTGGTTGGTAGAGACCTTGGAAAATTTTAAAAGATTTTTCTATGGGTATAGACCTTTACCTTTACCTTTACAAATAAATAATTCCATTGGTATAGATCCTTTTTTTAAAAAAATTGGTAATTCACTTTTATTTTATAATTTTTTCCTGCACTTATTATTAATACCATTTTTCTAAGCTATAGAATCAATCCCTCCAAAGCACGAATCAATCTCTAACCATTTGCACACAAATAGGAAAGAAAAAAACAACACTTTGAAATTTCTTAACCATTTGCACGAATCAATCCTTCCAAAGCACACAACCACTCAAGCTAAGCAAGTCTATGCAGATCAAACTATTCAACACTATAAAAAAGGCCATAAATTTTTTTTTAAAAGAATTAGTTAATTGATGCACTAAATTAACAATCATAAAAGAGGAATTCCATAGATATAAATCAATCTCAAAACAGCAAATCTAGGCGAAAACAAAAATTGTAGAATCCAAAGAAGTTCAATTAAATGCTTATCGCCAAAAATTACAGATCCAAGAAGAGATACAAACATGCCTTTCAATCCCTTTGCCTATCATTTTCTTCATTACTTTCATTTTGGTGAGACAAAAGGTGATGGCTTGAATGTGAAGAGGAACGATTATTTGGGGAAAAACCTCGCCCACTATTAGCATCCGGAACCTACAATTCAATAGAAAGAAATTCAAGGATAACTAAAATTTCAAAAATCCAACCAAAAGAAATGAAAAAAAAAAAAGATTTGAGAGATTAAACTTTGAAAATAGTGAACTCTGAACAAAGAGCTATGAGTGAGTATTAAATACCTCTTGACGAGCTGCATGTGCCTATTGAAAAATAAAATTCAATGAGTATAGATTTCCATGAAGATTGAAAAGAACAAAAACATAAGCACACCAAAAACCAAAGTAGAAAAGATGAGAAATTAAGAAAAGACTAAAGAGCTAAAAAAAAAGAACAAAACATAAGCTCAAAAATTTTTTTCCATTAATTTTTTTAGCTAATGGCCACATTTGTCACAGCAAAGCTCCCAATGAAAAATCTACTTGTCATCTACCAAACCATATATATGCAAGAATACAAAGAACTCCTTTAGAAGTAGTGAAAATTGAAAACTAAAATAATAATAGCATCACAAGGTAATTAAATGGTTCAACAAAAAAGTTTACCTCTCTATCCAAGCTGTTGGTAGCAACTAATTGGTTGGCAACTTGTAGAATATCTATGATATTCTCGTTAGGGAATTTTGCTTTCATGAGTTGCATTAATCTACTCAATATATTCTCTACCTTACTCAACCTTTGCTTAACATTGCTATTTGTAGAGGTGGAAAGGACAAAGTTTTTGGAAGTTGAGACCTTCCTTAAGCAGCAAACCCTCCCTTTCTTGTCATATCCCTTCACCTTGGATAATATATCATCTCGCCAAGATGTAGTTTGCTCCAATGCACTTGCAGAAGAATTAGACTCACTCATGTAGTTTTTAAGTTGTTCCTACGACATTTAACCCAAAATGACTCTTTTATATATATAAATATGATGAAGAAAGGCATACATCATTAAAAGCACATAATTTATGTGTTTACTAACCAACACTTGGTTTGCCTTTTCACTTACAGGTCCCCCATCCTTTTTCGTTTGACTTTGAATGTAGAGTTTAGCCCTTGATGGCTTTCTTCCTTCAGCAAAGCTTTCTTAGAAAATAAACAAGCAGTGAATAATCAAATACAACATTGATCTTGACAATAAAGCATGTACACTACCTTTTTTTAATAAAGTAGCTTGAGTAGAAAGAATCACCTTTTCATTGACAAATTGTGAAAAAGTCTTGGTGCCTAGGCAGTGGGGCTCTTCGAGTTTTTGCCTATTTTCTTTATTCTGTTAGCTAATTTTTTGGAAGAAAACAAAAGGTAAAAGTTATTTATGATAACAAAAAATTAGGCAAAATGTCAACAGCATAGCAAAATTGTCATACCTCACCCTTCTCACCATGCCAATATTCAACAGCAACTGAAATTGCTCATCAACTCGAGGATCATTAATTTTTTCATACATTTCATCTGCTGTTAACAACATATCAAATCCTGCACTTTTTAAGTCATTTTTATAATTTTTCCATTTTTCATTTACATTGATCATAATCCAACTCTTGATTTGCTCTTTGCGGCTCTCCTCAATAAGGAACTTGGACTAAAATTAGAAACCACAAAAATAAAATGAGATTCAAAAAGACTGATAATAACAATGGCAAAATATCATAACTATGAAAAGTCCTCTTTGGACCTGCAAAGCCAATAGTGCCTAGATCTCTAAGTTCAACTGAAAGTTTTGTAACAAAACAATTCAATCAATAACCAACACAAATCACTGGATATGTAGCCACACAAGAAGCTGATCCACCATAACTAAAATTGAGTCCTATTCATCCTACACAGGTGACCATAAAATCTAAACTAAATAAGCGCCTTTTTTCACATGTAAAAAGTGAAACTTTCACCCAAAAAAACTTACACAAAATAGAAACTCAAGGCCAATTCAAACCCTAATCTCAAGCAACTAGTTAACAATCACAATAAAAATAATAATAGAATTGGATAAAATTAAAAGAAATCAATTTTCCATATTTGAAAAATGTTAAACTTATAAGAATTATAAAGCAGATTATCATCTTCTAAAAACTTGGTTTTTGGTTCTCTCTTTTCCCTTTAAACTAAATAAAAAAAAAAATGAACACACTAGCCTACAATGGTAGCTAATAGTGAATATATAGGGAAGAAAGGTGGATGGGCGATGAGGGTCCAAGTTATGATCAATAGGTTCTTTGTGCTGGAAACAGAGTAGGAACCATATATAACCTACCATCTGATTTACAGATTTCAATTTTGAAATGGACTTGTAGAAAAAAAATTTTGTACTAAAACATTTATATTGAAACACAACGATAGGTTATTATTGGAAGAAATCATCATAATAGCAGAAAAAAAGGCAAGAAATGTTATAATTGATTTGTTCCAATTATGTTCACTTTCATTGCCTTTTCGTTTCATGAAATGTTTTCCCTTTCTTGTATGTTTTCTATAAACTAGCTACCCAGCTTACATTAAGACCACTAATTTGTAATATCTCAATTAAGTATATTTTAGGTCCAATTACTCAAACCTCCTTAAGCCATATAGAAAAATTCAGACCATACAACCCATTAAAAACATGAAACCTTCATATATCCACATAATCCCCATTAATGGTTTACCAACTTTAATCTAAAAAGAAACTAAAACAAAAAGTTTTCTTTAATATAGCTAATTAAATAAGGAAGTAATATACCAAATTTGCACTAGGTTTACTAATCTATTAAGAGTATAAGCCTTTCTTTTTACCTCAATAATCTTCCACATGTCATCCTTATAAATTTGAGGCATATCCCTCCATTCCATGTAGTTAATTGGTGCAACATTTGATTTTCTTACAACAGTACCAAGGAATCGAGTTAAGGTGCAACCTTCTTTATCAACTGGGTGGCAATTTGCATCAAATACGACATTGACCTTGACACCTTTATCCAACTCCCATATGTGGGACATCAATGTTGGATCTCTTAGCTTCTAGATGGTGGAGATGGTGCTAATAGTAAATGCATTAACAAGTTAAAAGTTCACAGAAATCCATCCTATAAATTTGGAAAACAACAATTTAAATAAAAAACTTTTACCTCTAGATTCTATTTCTTCTAGGATAGCATGTTGATGGTTTGACTCACCCTCATTGTTTCCAGATGAAGCAGATTGTTGGCTTGGCTCTACCTCATTGTTTATGGATGGAGAAGAGGGCAAACCAACTTCAATTTGGTTGTTTGGCCCGACCCTTACAAGATTGAGACACTTGTGCTTTGGCATCCTAGAAGGAAAAAAAAAAAGATGATTAGAATGAGAATTTATATTCTAATGTTGGAATATATACTGAAAAAGCAAGTCAATTTTATGAACTCACCAAAATTACATAAATAAATCTATAACAATCATTCAACCAATATTCAAATAAGTGAAAAGTTAATAAATACTAATAAGATAAAAACATACAAACTATACTATTATATTTAAAATTACAGTCATGCATTGCACAAAAATAACGTATATAACAAAACTGGAGAAACTAATAACTGTACTTTGTACAACAAACTCAAATTTAATCATCCATTTCTTCATCATCATAGTTTTCAACTTCCATATCTGGTGTCACAATAATCCCTTCTTCCTCAATATCTCTCCTAACCCTAGTGGATGCCATATCTGCTCTACCAATTACAAACTCAAATTTAATCATCCATTTCTTCATCATCATAGTTTCCTTAATTCCAAATAAGCATTCTTGTAAAAAAACACGTGTACAATCTGACTAGCTAGCTCATAACACACCTCAATTCATTCTAATGAAGTTAAACAAAAAAACTTCCTTTTAAAGCCCATGATTAGTTCTAGCACCATAAACACTCAAAACTAATGCTACATATCGTACCATCAGAGACAACATAAATCCTTATTGCCATCTCATAGCAATCTCATTATGTAGTTGATAAAATTGTAACCATATCACATTCTAGAAAGACTCAAAATAAATATATCTATCTATTTATATATTAAAAAAATCCATTCCACCAACAACCACATTCTTATGTTACTAAATCACTATTATAGCACTCAAAACACAAGAAAATTTGCCCTAGACAACTAATTGTAACACCTTAAATAATAGATTTAGAAATAGCATTTTGAAAATTTTAAATACAAAAGGATATGATGGTGCAAGTTATATGAGAGTTGAGTTTGACGAACTTCAAGTTTTGATTAGAAAAGAATGTCCTTATGCTTACTACATTCATTGCTTAGCTTATCCTCTGCAATTAACTTTAGTTGCATCATCAAATAAAGTCATTCCTGTGTATAATTTTTTTAAAACTTGACATGCATTGTCAATGTTGTTGTAGCTTCTTCTAAGTGCAATGATGAATTGAAATCTATTTATGATTCTAATATTGCTTGTTTAATTGAAAATGATGAGCTTGAAACTGGAAGTGGACTTAATTAAAATTGCACTCTACAGTGACCAGGTGACACTCATTGGAGTTTACATTTGAAATCTATTTTAAGCATGTTAAAATTTGATTGAGGAGGGATCTACTTCTTCACAACGTGGAGAAGCATTTAAAGGTAATATAACATATTGAATTTTTTAGAATTTGTTTGAATTCTACATCTTAAAAGAAAATCTTGAAGGTAACTAATATATGTTTTTTTATTTGTAAGATATAATGAGTTGATGTATTTTGAGTTTGTTTTTGTTTTACATTGATGAGTTGAATTTGTATACATATTAATGTGGAATTGTTGCCTTGATATTATTGATATTTAGATGAGTTTTATGAGATTTTACATGATTTTTATTCTTTGTGCAGAAAAAGACTTGAATGCATAAAAGAAGGGTTTTGGGGATTAATTGAACATCTTCTCAAAGTTGAGGGACTGAATCGAAAGAAGAAGGGTGCCTCTTTGAGACCTAAATGAATGAATCTTGAGTTTTGGCATCTAAGTGTTCATTGTACAAAGGCTGGAGGACCAGATCTACTATTTCACCATTGAAGAAATTGCAAAAAGAGACCAGAAACTCAACACGGGTGTAGTACCAAAAACTTGATGAGTTAATTCCACTCTAGCAAGTGTACTAGTCAGTTCAAGTGATATAATGTTAAAAATAAAGTATCGTCTCACAGAGACTATTGCATAACTAAGTGCCAAAATTAACAAATTCTAATTTTATTTGAATAATTGAAATTAAATGATTTGACTAAACTAAATAACTAAACTAATTAATGAAAAACTAAATTGACTTTAAGTAACACCAAGAGTTAAAATTTTAAAGCATCCGATTTCACCATAATCAACTAATATAGAATTTAGACTAATATACTTTCAAGGTATTTATCATTTATGTGACAACGGGATTTCCTATCCTATTTGATACACTTTCTCAAGTTATACCAAATCTATCTTCACCTATTAACCCACTATATCTCTATGTGAATTTAAATAGATAAAGATGCATTATGTTCTATGAAATTCCCTAGTTTACGTAGAAAATTAAGTTTACTTATCACTAATGCTGCAAAAATCACGTTGGTCCATCTCTGGCTTTCGTTCAATTCATGGTATATATTATTAGAAACTATTGCATAAAATCTCCCCTCGATCTCAATTATGCTCTCCAAATCAATTTTAATGGTGGCCAATCATTAAAAAGCATTAAGAACAATAATATATACTCTACATAAAATAATAAACCTTGAAAGTATAGAATTCATAAAACTCTATATTAAATTGATCAGACTACATCATAGCCTTAGATGGCAAATTAGTTCATAAGTAAAGAAAAGAGAATCAACAATCCCATGATGAATATACGAGTATCCAACATCATAAAATAAAATTCAAGGGCAAGCAAAACCAGTTTGACGATATAAAATCCCAAGCCTTGATCTTCTTTTGTTGTTGAATTCCTCTTAGTTGTCTCTCTTGGTCTCCTCTCAAAAGCCTTCTTTAATTTGATCTTTTCAATGATTGCTTGAAATCTTTCAAGTTCATCATCATCAAGTTCTGCATCCCAATTGATAGTTATTACTTCAACTTGTGCTCTTATCTCTGGTGCAAGCCATTGATAATTTAGATCAGTGTTTAGGCCAACTAGAGCCATAGTTAAACCTACAAAAACAAAAACAAAAACAAAAACAAGGAAACAGAAAAAAAAAAAAATCAAAGTAAAGAAATAAAAGAAAAGAAAATGTTCAAATTAAATCTAAAATTAACAAACTCCGATATTAATTAAATCAACAATCCTCGGCAACGGCACCAAAAACTTGATGCACTAAAATCACCTTAGCAAGTGGACTAGTCGCTCCAAGTAATATAATGATGAGAGAGTGTCGAACCCACGAGAATTGTGTCTAATTAAGTACCAAAATAATTAATCTAAATTTATTTGAACAATCAAATAAGAAGAAACTTTAATTAAGAATAATAAAAAGAAAATAACAAATAAACCTAACCAAAATAGGAGGTACTAAGGCATTGATTTCACCATAATCAATCAATATAAATTCTAAATTAGTAACACTCAACAAATTAGCATATTAATTCAAAATTTATATTGATTGATTATAGTGAAATCAATGCCTTAGTACATCCTATCTTTGTTAGGTTTATTTGCTATTATTTTTTTATTATTCTTAATTAAAGTTTCTTCCTATTTGATTCTTCAAATAAATTTAGATTAATTATTTTGGTACTTAATTAGACATAATCTTCGTGGGTTCGACACTCTCTCATCATTAGATTACTTGGAGCGACTAGTCCACTTGCTAAGGTGATTTTAGTGCATCATACATCTTATGAAAAAAATCATGGAGATCACATATTTGCTTTGTCAAGTTTTGCAATGTAAATTTCAAGATATTTTGAATTCCTTAATCTTGTCAAGTCAACAAATGCTCTTATTCAACAACTTAGAGAAAGTAGGTGGGATTCTTTACTTGCAAAGGTAAAATTATTTTGTGACAATAACAATATAGACGTTCTTGACATATTTGCCACATATGTTGCACAAGGAGGACGTGCTCATCATCAATAAGATATTATTACTGTTGAGTGCCATAATTGAATAAATATTTTCAATGCTACAGTAGATTCCCAATTAGAAGAATTGAATTGTAGGTTTAATAAGAATGCAATGAAACTATTGACTCTTAGTGGTGCTTTAGATCCTAAAAATGGGTGCAAGAGTTTCAATGTTGATCATATTTGTGGACTTGTAGAAAAATATTATCCTCAAGATTTTTTAGAGATGGAGAAACTTCTTTTGAGATCAGAGCTTCGACATTATGAGATTGAAACAAGTTGTGCTCAAGGTTTTCAGAATTTGTCAAATATTTTTGAGCTATGTCAATAGCTTTTGGAGACAAGAAAATTAAAGGTCTACAATCTCATTTACAAGTTAATTATTTTGGTGTTTACTCTTCCAGTTTCTATAGCAACAACAAAAAGAGCATTTTCTGCCATGAAAATTATGAAAATGAGACTTCACAACAAAATGAAGGATGAATTCCTTTCAAATTCTTTGATTGTTTATATTGAAAAAGAAATAGTTTACAAATTTAGTGTAAACTCTATTATAGATTTCGTGATATAAAGACTCATTAAATATTATTTTAATTTATGATATAAAAGTAAGTTTTTAAAATTATAATATATTATTTTGAGACTTGAAAATCTG